AAATATTCACATGATTCCATTAGTCTGGCTCTTTTTTAAGGTAGGATGTTTTTTTATTTTTTTAAGACAAAAATTATTGCTCTGACAGTCTAATCAAAGATATTTAATTTTGGAATTTGGAGGAAAGGCATAAACCTAGTTTATTACAAAAATACCTCTTTTTAGTTTTCCTAGCCTTAAAATATAACCTCTCCCCTTTTACACAGGTAATGCTTTCACATGGTATTTACATCAAGAAAACTTGTTTTCACCCCTGCCTAAATATACACACAATTTTCCTTGAATCTTTTAGTATACTCTTTCTTTCTTTTTTTACGTTTTTTTTTTTAATTGTACTTTTAAGTTCTGGGGTACATGTGCAGATCTTGCAGGATTGTTGCATAGATACACACATGCCATGGTGGTTTGCTGTCTCCATCCGCCCCCCCCAACCTACATCAGGCATTTCTTCCAATGTTATCCCTCCCCGACCTCCCCACCCCGGAGATGTCTATCCCCTAGTTCCTCACTCCCCAGCAGACCCCAGTGTGTGATGTTCCCCTCCCTGGGGCACTCTTTCTGAGGGAGGGAGGGAGGGAGAGAGGGAGGGAGGGAGGGAGGGAGGGAGGGAGGGAGGGAATTAATGTGTGTATGCACATGCATGTGTGTATGAATTTTCAGGGTTTTTAAAATATAGATGTAATTACAAATACATTTATTTCCCCACTTTTCATATATAAGAGACATGATACTGTATGTATCATTCTGCATTTTGTTTTTAATGTTTATGTAGACCGTTCTGGGAATTTTGTTTCCATACATAGAGAATTTTTTTTATAACTACAGTTCCATTGTATAGATTAGTTTATTTAACCAGTGCTCTGTTTATGAGCATTCAGGTTCTTTCTAGGCTTTTGATATTCAGTCACTACTGTAGTGAATAATGTTGCACATACATTATTCTTATGTATTGCAGGCATATCTGTGAGATAGATTCCCAGAAGTGTGCTTGACTAGGTCAAAGAAAAATTTGTGACTTTGACAGATATAAATTTTGCTTCATGGGTCTTGCTTAATTATGAGATGTCTGTTTACCTATAGCTTCATCAGTAGAATATATTGTCAGATTTTTGGATTTTTGACAGTCTGATAAATGAAAAATATCTTCACAAGTTTGGGTTTGTTTTCCTCTGAGTGAGACTGAACATGTTATATGTGTGAAGGCCATTTATACTTCTGCTTCTGAGAGCTTTCGTATCTTTTTCCCTTTTTCCTCTTGAGTTGTTGGTTTTCATCTCAATTTTTCAGGAGCTCTTTGTAAATCAGGAAGCTAACATACCTGCTAAATTCGTCGCAAATATATTTTTCACCATTTGTACTGTCTTTTGACCTCACTTTTAATGTGTTTGTTTTGCCATCCAAAAGTTTTTTTTTTAGTTTTATGTAGGTGAATTTAATATTTTTTTCCTTTATGGCTTATAAATTTTGCATCAGAATTATAAAAGCCTTTTTCATTTGAAGATTTGAAGGTGCCATGTTTTCTTCTAGTTCTTTTATGGTTCGTTTCACTCTCCTTCCCTTCCTTCCTTCCAACATTTAAATATTTTATTCATTTGCAGTCTATTCTGGTATACAATATGAAGTGTGGGTGAACCTTGTTTTCTAGATTAGTTCCGGTTGTCCCAGCATCAGTTACTTAAAAGTTCATCTTTACTCCATTTCACATGTTGCCTTTATCTTATTTGGACTTCCTTTATGTGTTAGGGTCTATTTTGGTCTTTCTGTTTTGTTCAATTGATCTCTTCATCTGTTGCACAGGTACTATCATGAAAAAGCAAATAGTATAAAAATTCAGCGTACAAAAGTGGAATAAAGAAAGACTGATAGGTGGCTTGTCTTGGTAACAGCAGAAAACTAAATTTTTGCTTATTGATGAAATAAATACAACTTAGGATCAGCATATTCAGAGAAGCATGAGGGAGCATAGCCATATCTGAAGTACACTACTGGAGTGCCTGTGGCGAATTACCAAAAAGGCAGATTTTTAGCCACTGAGAGCCTGCCTACTTTGCAGTCCCCACAAAACTGTTTTGTACGCAACATCATTAGCTATAGATAAGATCAGATCCCAGGGATATAAAGATTCCAAGCTGCTGTTGCCCTTTGGAGCTCTTTGATACATAGACTCCCTGCTGGGTTGTCAAGCATTGTCAACTAGACATATAAACTCCCTCTCCTATTCCCATCTCCACTGAGAGTTCCCTAGCCCTCATCTTCTGGGTGATAGCCACTTCACCCCAGCTTCTGGCCAGTCCTGGGTGGGTAGTGGCCACTCTGCCTTAGCCTCTGGACTATATGCTGTAAGGACATCCTCTGCATGCAGACCTGTCAGTGTCACCCAGTAAAGCTTATACATGCTACTGCCACCTCGTGGTTATATTATTTTCTTTGCTCAGACCCCAAATCCCTCAAATTTAAAATATAGTTAGGTTCCTACCAGCTTCTAATCATATTTTCATGAGTCAATACATAATCTTGTTTTGTGTGTGTTTCTGTTAAAAGACATATTGTTGATTGATTAGCCTTGAACTCACAGCTGACATTGCTATAACTCATGCCTGAAGGAAGCTGGCCTAACACTTCCAGTGACATTACAGCCTTCTTATGCTTACCAACCCTAAATAGCACTTGAGCACCATGCTTAGAGGATATTGTAAACAGAATCATCAACAAAAAGCACAGAAGTGAGAAAAACGTGGCACCAAATAGGCTCTGCCCAGGATTCTTGTTTATAGTGTGAAAATTGAAACAAGAAGGCAGAGAGAGTGTCACTGTTTAACCTCGGTTGGAGAGGTGCATGCATTAGGTGACTCAAATATTTCACTACTCTGCGCAAGTCTATGAAAGCACTGCGAGTATTGACTTTAGAGTTACAAATAAATTTTAGCAAGTAGAGAGATTTGCAAGTATGCACTCCACAAGTAATGAGGATCAACTGTACCAGTCCAGTCTGCTCTTAAATACTTCCAGTGATAAGCCCACTCCCTCATGACAAACTTTTGTCTTGCTGGCTAGGCAAAAGTTTGGGTTTTTTGGCTTATAGCCATTATTGGAGGTAATGAAAAGAAAAAAAAAATGTGGGTTTTGTTAGTTGGTTTATTTGTCTGTTTGTGGCGGTGTCACACTCTGTCACCCAGCCTGGAATTCAGTGGCACAGTTTCTGCTCATTGCAACCTCTGCCTCCTGGGTTCAAACAATTCTGATGCCTCAGCCACCTGATAGCTGGGCTTATAGGTGCCCACCACTACGCCTGGCTACTTTTTGTATTTTTTAGTAGAGATGGAGTTTCTCCATGTTGACCAAGCTGATCTCAAACTCCTGACCTCAAATAATCCACCAGCCTCAGCCTCCCAAAGTGCTGGAATTACAGGCGTCAGCCACTACGCCCGGCCTGGGTGGTTTTAATGGTTATATTGCACTACAATCTGTATCCTATTATTTCTAGTCACAGATCCTGGACTATTCCCTCTTCAGTATATTAATTCAGCTGTCTTATATTCATTTTCCCCCCCATTTTTCCCCTTTAGCATAAAGATCCCCAATTTCTTTGGAAACTTTTGGTTTGCTAAGCACCTGAATTTAAATGAATGGAACTTATTGTTACAAACTAACACTTCCCCTTCTTCTGTCTTACACCTCCTCCCAATAAAAACTGTATCCTCTACTCCCACTGCCTCACTTTACACCTTCAGTTCCAAGTTACTCAGATTTGGGGGATGAGGCAAGAAAAAGGCTAGATATATGGATAACTTTAAATATACAGAAAGATTGCTTTTTCTTTCCCTTTCCCTTTCCCTTTCCCATGTCATCTCTACTTCTCCATATGTTGGCTTCATTCTGTAACCAGATTTTCTCAGTGCGGTAGAGAATATGGCCATTGAAGGCTCCAGATTTGTATCTTCTCGTCACAGTTGTAGCTACAGTAGAAACAAGGACTTTTCTCAATTAATGTCCATGTGTCAGTTTACGGAAAAACTCAGGTACAGTTTAGGTCATATATATAATCCTGGACCAGTTGCTCTTGCCAGGAGTATGGAAAATTGATTAGCCAACCTGTGTCATCTGTAGTGACACAAAAGTAGTGACCCTTGATTGATAGCTTTTCTAGTACCATGTGGATTTCTAGAGAAGGGAATATTCCCAGAGGAAACAGGGACATTAAACAACAATGTCAAGTATACACATTAAGACAATTATTTTCTTCCTGCTATGCTTAGAGCCAGTAAGATGTCTCTTAAGGACAATCAGTGTGATTTAAGGATTATATAGTTTTCAGCTTTGAACAATATTGGATCAAAATTGGTTTTGCTTTTAATATTAACATCTATTATTTCTCAGTGGTGGATATACTGTGTTGACTGGGTATATCATAGCAAATACTGTTATATTTTCTTTTTAAATGTTTAAAGTATTTCTTTCTTTTTTTTTTTTTTTTTTGAGACGGAGTCTCGCTCTGTCGCCAGGCTGGAGTGCAGTGTCGCGATCTCTGCTCATTGCAACCTCCACCTCCCAGGTTCAAACAATTCTCCTGCCTCAGCCTCCTGAGTAGCTAGGACTACAGGCGCGCACCACCACGCCCAGCTAATTTTTGAAGAGATGGGGTTTCACCATGTTGGCCAGGATGGTCTTGATTTCTTGACCTTGTGATCCACCCACCTCATCCTCCCAAAGTGCTAGGATTGCAGGCTTGAACCACCGTGCCTGGCCTGTATTTCATAATTTTAATAAACTAGCAGAAAGTTAATTTTGCTTTGATTTAAGTTGGTGAATAATAACAGATATTTGGGTTATAATTTCCCTTCAGCATTAAGTTAGCTGTAGAAATGGTATATCTGACCTAGTAACCCATTTGACATTTTAAAGATGGTATACTCTAAAGGTAAATTACTAAATTTTTTTAAGGATATGAAAAAATGTAATTGTTCCTTTTACTTCATATCAATATATTTATGATACCATAGGTACCTGCAAGGTGTGGCGTTACAGTCCGAGACAGTCTAAAGAAAGCACTGATGATGAGAGGTCTAATCCCAGAGTGCTGTGCTGTTTACAGAATTCAGGATGGGTATGGTTTGTATGTGATGTGAAATTTTGTTTAAAAAGAAAATCACACATTAATTAATCTTTGAAGTTTTCTTAGGATCTTTACCCAGACCTGGAGAATTGAAAGTCTACTTTAGGAAAAAGTATTAAATTAATATTAAGTTAGCCTGAAGAAATATTGTAGGCCATATGAGGAGTTAAATTAGGTAATTTTATATGACTGTAGTGTTTGTTACTCTGATCAAATGATTTTATTTGGAATTTGAGATTCTTAAAATTTTTGAACCATTCAGAGTGTGATTTATTTGGATAATGGACTCTTATACCCCCTCCCATTTTTAATACAAACTCATAATTTCATAAAAGGTATATCAAAATTAACATTTTATATTGACCTACTTTTCTTCCAGAAAGTGTCTAACATTGTTCCAAGACCCTCACATTTTGAATCCTGTTGTTGTTTTTTTTCAATCATTTTGGGGGCATGTTGTCCCTGTCCCTTGAGTACTCTTTTTTCCTTGAATGGATAGATAAGTCCGTACCTGTGATTTTTTTTTTTTTTTTTTTTTGTTGGGGGGACCCCAGGAACAATCCATTTTCTGCTGTTGTAGGTCTTTTCTGGAGCTGACTTGAAGAAAAGAGTACATCTCTTTACCCTGCTGTTTGTCCAAGACTGATACATTTATTTGGGGTAAACTTAAAAATTAATCTATTGCCATTTAAATTTCTAACGATGGAATACTAGGGAGCCAAACCTCCCTCACTGTTACTAGCCCCTCGATAACCAATGTTCATATCTTCAGCATAAGGTATATGAATATTTTTAGTTGTAATAACCAAGAAAGGCTTGTGTCTACATTTTTCAGAGAGAAGAAACCAATTGGCTGGGACACTGATATTTCCTGGCTTACTGGAGAAGAATTGCATGTGGAAGTGTTGGAGAATGTTCCACTTACAACACACAACTTTGTATGTATCTTTACATTTTTTTGGAATGTCAAAAATGTTCAAATTTTAATGAATGCATTTTTATTTAGGGAATGTGAAATATGGCTGAGTAATATTTTAAAAAGCAGTATGTATGCCTTGCTAAAAGAAAATACTTTTTGAATAGTGTGAAAGTATGTCAAATTTAAAAAGTGAAAATACCCTCCTAGAGGCCAACATTTGTGTAGATTAACAGATTATTGTTCTGTCTTCCAAATTTTTTTCTGTGTACACAAACATGTGCTTATACCTGTAAACCCTTTTTTCTTTTTTCCTTTTTTCTCCCTTCCCTTCATTACTTTTCTTTTCCCTTTCTTAAACCAAAAGTGGAGCCATGCTATGTGATATTCTTTGCTTTTTTGTACACCTGGCTTTATTTTAGTATGATTGTGTAATAATTCATAAGAGTAGTAATTCAGTATATTTAACCATTTCTCTGTTGATAGACATTTAAGTTTTTGTATTTTTAAAAATCTGTTACATATAGGGCTATACCGGGTCTTTCTACATATATCGTGACACCTTTGTACAAACCCTTGTGTTTCTGAAGGATAGATTAATGGAAGTAGAATAGCTGGGTATTAAACTCTCCTTGATGCTTCTTTCTTTGTCTGGTTTTTGCATTTGCTAGAACCTAGCATAAGCATAGTATCACCTGTCACCAGCATAAGTCCCAGAATTTAGGACCTTTCTATTTTAGAGATGAGGATCTACAGAGAACTGGAGAACCTATCCTCTAAAATGGTAGGCAGAAGCCAAAAGTTGTCTCTAAGTCAGGAATACATTTCTTACTTTTCTCTATATATGGAATTTCGGCCAGAGTTTTTTCTAGGTGGATAGTTACGGCTACCCTTTAGGCATCAAGTGTTTTCCCATGTGCCTTGGTGATTAATTCAGCTGGGCCCCTTAAAACAGATGATTGATTAAATTATTTCCTTTGGGGTTTATGCTTTCAAGCCTCCATTAGTAGTGAATAATGAAATCAGGTTTGTGTTTCTGTAAGGCATTTTTTGGACAAGTGTAAGATGCAGCTAATGTCAATCAGATTTTACTGTGCAGCAAATAATTTTATAATAAGCTAGGAAGTTCATTATTCTTTTTTTTTTTTTTTTTTTTTGAGACGGAGTTTTGCTCTTGTTACCCAGGCTGGAGTGCAATGGCGCGATCTCGGCTCACCGCAACCTCCGCCTCCTGGGTTCAGGCAATTCTCCTGCCTCAGCCTCCTGAGTAGCTGGGATTACAGGCACGTGCCACCACGCCCAGCTAATTTTTTGTATTTTTAGTAGAGACGGGGTTTCACCGTGTTGACCAGGATGGTCTCGATCTCTCGACTTCGTGATCCGCCTGCCTCGGCCTCCCAAAGTGCTAGGATTACAGGCTTGAGCCACCGCGCCCGGCTCTTTTTTTTAACATGTTGAATTTTAAGTGGATAAATCTTAAGATTTTTATTTAAGTTCTTAAGACTCCAAAAACAGTTGAGCATACATTTCATAGTGATTACTACTGTATTTCTTAATAATCTGGAAATCGGATATGAGGGGATAAAAGAAAACCTGAGTTGCTAAGTGTGAGAAAATAGTATTCAAATGGTGCCTCAGGAAGGTCCTTGCCACAGAAGGATAGTGAAAGCAAATTGCAGATTGATTCGAGAGTTTGGAAATTCTCACCCACAGTTAGAAACCTGCCAGTAAAGTTTTATTGAGAACTTTCCTTTTGCCAATACCTTATCTTACCTGGGGATATGACAATGAATAAGACAGTGTCACTGCCTTAGATTTAATAAATTTTCATAAACATTCATAATACTATGTATGTCTAAAGTTCTGTAGATGCACAGAGATTCCTAACTTGGCTTTTGAGGAGTCAGGAAAGTTTCCCAGAGGCAGAAATAATCTAAGCTTAGGCCTGATGGATGAGGAAATAAATAGCAAGTAAAGAGCACTCTAGACAGAGGGAACAGCAAGAAAGCATGTTACCTTTGAAAGTTTTGAAAGAAGTTCAGAATCGATGATATAAGGTTGAAGAGTGGATTATTAACAATATTATGGGTAGAATAAGAGTTATAGGTAGCTCATGAAAATCCTTGTAAGCTATATAGAAGATTTGGACTTTCTGTAAAACAATTAGAAATTTAATAGTTATAAGCATGGGGAGAAATGTGATTAGATTTGTGTGTTAGAATGATTGCTCTGAGTGCCATATAGAGGCAAGAAGAAAAAACTGTGTTCTGCTTAGAAAGGAAGAGTGTTGCCGGGCGCGGTGGCTCAAGCCTGTAATCCCAGCACTTTGGGAGGCTGAGGCGGGTGGATCACGAGGTCGAGAGATCGAGACCATCCTGGTCAACATGGTGAAACCCTGTCTCTACTAAAAATACAAAAAAAATTGGCATGGTGGCACATGCCTGTAATCCCAGCTACTCAGGAGGCTGAGGCAGGAGAATTGCTTGAACCCAGGAGGCGGAGGTTGCGGTGAGCCAAGATCGCACCATTGCACTCCAGCCTGGGTAACAAGAGCAAAACTCCATCTCAAAAAAAAAGAAAGGAAGAGTGTTCTTAGCTGTCTTGGATTTTGCTTGACTATTCAGGGAATGCTGTTTATGCCTCATGATTTCATAGAGTCAGTTATAAAAGCAATCCCTTCAGTATTTCTCTATATCACAAGAGTCCTTGGGAGCTGGGAAATGGGGAAGCAAGATTTGAAACATGTATTATGTATCCAGCCCTTATCCTTTTTCTACAGACACTCAGTGTCTTCCTTTACACAGCCTCACACTTTACACATTAATGCATGCAAATTGCCTGGACTGTGCTTCTCACTAATTTACCATACACATTTTTGTATCCTCAAATTCTAGTTGAAGTGTAAGCTGTGACCCAAAAGAAAGAGAAATCTTCCTGTGCTCATCTTTATTGACAAAAGTATACTTACAGATACAAGCATATATTGCCTAAAATTTATGAGCAAATGCATATCCACATGTTTTCTTTCCTTCAGATGTTTTGGGCTCCTGCCTACTTGGTTTGGTAAATAATGGCCACATAAAAATTTTTAAAGATTTTTAAAATTTTTGTATATCCAGAGACAAATGGAAAAAGCACACAACTAGAAATAGGCACATACCTGTTTTATATCCCCTAGAAAGTGATACATAGGAAAAAAGGTGAAGAAAATAAGAGCCACTTTCAAAACTAAATGTCCTCAAAAAGCCAGAATGTGTTATGTATCAGGATGTAATTTTCTTGAAATATTTTCAGTAACTTTCTATTATTAATAAAACAGAATGTATAAATAAATGTATGTTGAAAATGGAGTTTTGGCTGGGCACAGGCTCATGCCTATAATCCCTTGAGCCCAAGAATCCAAGACCAGCCTGGGTAACATAGTAAAACCTCATCTCTACAAAAAAAAATACAAAAATTAGCTGGGCACGGTGGTGTGGGCCTATAGCTTGGCTACTCAGCCTGAGGTGGGAGAATAACTTGAGCCTGGGAGGCAGACATTGCACTGGGTCGTGATTGTGCTGCCATACTCCAGCCTGGGCAACAAAGGAAGACCCTGTCAAAAAATATATATAGACTTTTGATGTTGAAATCGATTGAATGTAGCATAAAAAACATTTACATGTAGTAGAATCGATTAGAAAGTTCTAATTCATGTTTTATATAGTCAGGGTAAGTATTGCTATGTGAATACAGTTATATATGGGCTCATAATGTGAAATACATTTCTCACTATTTTTCGTGATTAAAACTCTGCAAAACTGACCAGGCGCAGTGGCTTATGCCCATAATCCCAGCACTTCGGAAGGCCCAGGTGGGCAGATCATGAGGTCAGGAGTTTGAGACCAACCTGGCCAACATGGTAAAACCCTGTCTCTATTAAAAATACAAAAATTAGCCGGGCATGGTGGCACGTGCCTGTAGTCCCAGCTACTCAGGAGACTGAGGCAGGAGAATTGCTTGAATCTGGAAGGTGGGAGTTGTGGTGAGCTGAGATCATGCCACTGCACTCCGGCCTGGTTGCGTTAACTTTGGATAAAAATGTAAAAACAATTATTTATAAAAGATAAAACTAAAAAAAGCTAAAAAATTTTTTGAGACTGTCTCAAAAAAAACCTCTGAAAATCAAAAATGAATTAAGAATGTAGAGGTTGGGTATGGTGGCTCATGCCTGTAATCCCAGCTCTCTGGAAGGACAAGGTGTGCAGATCACTTGAGGTCAGGAGTTCAAGACCAGCCTGGCCAACATGGTGAAATTCCGTCTCCACTAAAAAATACAAAAATTAGCCAGGCTCGGTGTTGCATGCCTGTAGTCCCAACTACTCAGGAGGTTGAGGCAGGAGAATCACTTGAACCCAGGAGGCAGAAGTTGCAGTGAGCCAAGATCCTGACACTACTCCAACCTGGACAACAGAGCAAGACTCCCATCTCCAAAAAAAAAAAAAAAAAAAAAAAAGAATATAGAGCAAACAACAAATAATGAAATAGAAGTCATTCATGTTCTTGCCACTCTGAAATAGCCATTGTTAACATTTTGCTGTGCATTTATTCTAGTTTTTTCTTACGATTAGATACACAGGATAAATATATTTTAAGCAATTTTTGGCTTTAGTAGGGTAGGTTCTCCCTAGTGCACTTCTGTTATGTGACTCATGTTGTACATCATTTGCCTTTGACATGGAATTCTTACTTGTTGTCTTTTAAGTTTCACATAGAGAAATGTTCACAAATAAGTTTATGTGGCCCAAATATTCTAATCCTCTAAGAAATTGATCATTTATTAGAAAAAGTAGATCTTATTGTCTTTTAGGTGACTTTTCTTTATTTTTTTTTAGTAAGTTTAGGAAGAGTTGTTTTGACTTTCATATTATTACTTACTAGTTTTATCTTTTATAAATAATTGTTTTTACATTTTTATGCAAAGTTAACCATTATGTTTTTGGACCACAGATCAGGGATTCTGATTTTGTCAGCTATTTTGTTTTTGTTTTAGCTATTATGTACTTCTAGCTATTATGTAGTTTATATTCTCTCCCCCTCCCACTCCCAATTCCACTCTAGAGGAAATCACTTAATTTTTAATGGTTTCTGTTTTAAGGTCTTTTGGTGATTATTTCTGTGTTACTAAATATAGTTACACATTGTCTAGTGACTAGGATATGTTCTGAGAAATGCATCCATAGGTGATTTTGTTACGTACTTACACAAACCTACATGGTGTAGCCTAACTAGGCTATATAGTAGAGCCTATTCCTCGTGGGCTAATTACCTGTACAGAATGTTACTGTACTGAATTTTGTAGGTGATTATAACACAATGGCAAGTTTGTGTATCCAAACATAGAAAAGGTACAGTAAAAATACAGCATAAAAGATCAAAAATGGTATCACTGTGTAGGATACCTAACATGAACAGAGCTTTTAGGACTGGAAATTCCTCTAGTGAGTGAGTGGTGAGTGAATGTGAAGGTGTGGGACATTACTATTACTGTAACTTTATGATAAACATTATACCCTTAGGCTACACTGTATTTTTAAAATTTTTCTTTGCAATAATAAGCTTATAAAGTAAAAAATTTACAGTAAATTAAGGATTTTTTTTAACTTTTTGACTCTTTAGAAATAACAATTTCAAGAGTTTAAAAATGCAAACATGTAGCTATATGAAAATATTTATATGCTTATTCTGTAAGCTTTCTTCTATTTGTAAAATTTTTAATTTTTCTTTTTTACTTTTTAAACTTTTCTGTTAAAAATGAAGACACAAGCTGTCCAAAGTGTCTCATGCTTGTAATCCCAGCACTTTAGGAGGCCTAGGTGGATGCATCACGTGAGGTCAGGAGTTTGAACCAGCCTGGCCAACGTGGTGAAACCTTGTCTCTACTGAAAAAAAAAATAGGAAAATTAGCCAGGCATGGTGGCACCTGCCTCTGGTCCCAACTACTCCAGAGACTGAGGCAGGAGAATCACTTGAACCTGGGAGGTAGAGATTGCAGTGAGCCAAGAGTGTGCCACTGCAGTCCAGCCTAGGTGAGAGAGCAAGACTCGGTCTCAAAAAAAAAAAAAAGAAAGAAAGAAGACACAAACATAGCCTAGATCTACACAGGGTCAAGATCTTCAAGACGTTACTAGGCAATAGGAATTATTCCGCTCCATCATAATATTGTGGGACCACTGTAGTATACAAGATCCATCATTAACCAAAGTGTCGTTATGTGGCATATCACTATAATTATCTTTTAGCCACAATTTCTTGCTTTGTTAACTTTAGATATCATACTGATTACTGATTCTGTAAGAAATTAGTTCATTTATGGCCGGGCGCGGTGGCTCAAACCTATAATTCCAGCACTTTGGGAGGCCAAGGCGGGCGGATCACCAGGTCAAGAGATCGAGACCATCCTGGCTAACATGGTGAAACCCCGTCTCTACTAAAAATACAAAAATTAGCTGGATGTGGTGGCATGCGCCTGTAGTCCCAGCTACTCGGGAGGCTGAGGCAGGAAAATTGCTTGAACCCGGGAGGCGGAGGTTGCAGTGAGCCGAGATTGTGCCACTGCACTCCAGCCTGGCGCCTGGCAACAGAGCCAGACTCAAAAAAAAAAAAAAAGAAATTAGCTCATTTATAGTTCTTCTTCTCCCTCAATGCTTTTATTAGTAGTAGTTTTTGGTTCTTCTGTTGGATGCCTTTGTAACTTTAATGTATGCATTTCTCATTCCATCAACACCAGTCAACATTCCTTAACCTCCCTCATTTTATGATAATTAAAGTGTACCTTCTTCCTTTCACCCCGTTTCCTCCTAGTCATTTCTACTTTTACTTTTATGTTGTCAAGCTTGAAATCAGTTGCCAGCCTTTTATTCATTTCTCATTTTTTAACTTCTGAGTTTGTTTGTTTGTTTTTTGAGACTGAGTCTTGCTCTGTCACCCAGGCTGTAGTGCAGTAGCACAATCTTGGCTCATGGCATCCTCCACCACCTGGGTTCAAGCGATTCCCCTGCCTCAGCCTCCTTAGCAGCTGAGACTACAGGCACGTGCCACCAGGCCCAGCTAACTTTTTTGTATTATAGAAAAGATGGGGTTTCACCATGTTGGACAGGATGGTCTCAATCTCCTGACCTTATGATCTGCCCACCTTGGCCTCCCAAAGTGCCGTGATTACAGGTCTGAGCCACCACGCTCAGCCAACTTCTGAGTTTTTAAGTTCGATATTGGGGTGGGAAATAAATATATGTGGTCTACTATCTTGGACCCCCTAGTTTTTATTTTATAATAGTACTTTAGTGTATGAGTTTCATGATATAAATATATTAAAATTTTGTTATCTAAACAAGAGAGTGGATACATGAGTTTCTAGAAAGTTTCTTCAAAGTTTCTTCTTTGAAATCTCTATGATTTTTTACTTTGCAGGTACGAAAAACATTTTTCACCTTAGCATTTTGTGACTTTTGTCGAAAGCTGCTTTTCCAGGGTTTCCGCTGTCAAACGTGTGGTTATAAATTTCACCAGCGTTGTAGTACAGAGGTTCCACTGATGTGTGTTAATTATGACCAACTTGAGTAAGTAATCCAAAATATCTCTCTTCTGTATACCATTTTACCCTTAAATTTTCTTAATGTGAAGCTATGATGTCTTAAAGTCTGTGAGGGTTTTTTTCTTCCATACAATTAATTGTTACAGATAATTTTTTTTTAAGTGTAGTTAGAAAATAATATGTAGAATGGCCAGTATTTCTCTCCCAAGTTGTAATTCTAGTTCAGGTATACAGTTAATTTATATTATATTAATTATATTTATTAATTAGTTTATATTTATTTTATATTCTCTCTAATTTACATTTATTTACAGTTAATTTATATTTATTTTATATTATCTTTTAATTAATCAAACCCCTAACCCATAGAAATCAGTTTTGGGTAGTTTCTAGAAGGAGAGGGAGAGTTGCTTCAATTACATTAAGCATTACGATTTTGTACCACAGATCAGGTGGTCTGATTCTATTAGCTATTTGTAAATTACATTTACATTCTTGCTCTCTCTCTTTCATCCCCATTCAACTCCCTTCCCCTGATTTAAGAGATAAAATGTTTATATCCAGTATATATCTCTTTCTAAAATTTCTCTTTGCTGTATGACAGTTTTTCTGATAGATTAGATTTGAGTCTATTAAAATCTCTTTTTGTGTCATTGTTGCTGCTGCTACTAAAGTCTTACTTTTCTTAATCACTTGGGCAAATAAAACTTAACTCTTTAAGTAAATCATAATGTCACCTAATTTACAGTACATAGTTTTTCTTCTCATTCTTTAACCATAAAGCCTGATTTCATCTTGTAATATGTAGAAATTTGCTGAACAGAATGATTAGTTTTAGGTTATGAGCATAATAAAGTGCAATATAATTTTTTTAAAATAAGCCCTTAGACAAAAATACAACTAATTGAATTTTAACAAATGTTTCTGAGAATGGAATTTGATCTCAGGTTTTTCTGTTAACTATGTGTTTTGGTATATGAAGTTTCTGGGTTTTGCACAAGTTAGGTTTGTTTTGTTTTGTTTTGTTTTGCCTCACAGTTTGCTGTTTGTCTCCAAGTTCTTTGAACACCACCCTATACCACAGGAAGAGCCTTCCTTAGCAGAGACTGCTCTTACATCTGGATCATCCCCTTCCGCACCCCCCTCAGACTCTATTGGGTATGATTTGACTTCTGCTCTTCAGCGATATGCTACTTGAACTGCTTTCTTTTGAATCTCCTGGTTAATTAGAAACCTTTTTAACATTTAATGGTTAAATTAAGGATTTTTCCCCCAAAATAACTTATTTTATCACACCAATAAGATATTTACATGCATTTGGTACAAATAAATGGGATTAAAGCTGACACAGACTATTTTAGAACCAGTCCTGAAAAAATCAAACAGCAGATAATTTTGAGTCTACACCTTGAATTCATCTTTTATTAGGTTCTGAAGTATATGACTTCAACCTATGAGGAAGCATTGACATATGAGACAATGGCAAACAATGTAAAAATAGTATATAATTATAATCTATTTATGATGGAGTTTATTAAACTGTGTGATGGGGACATAAATGTTTTCATGTTTACAGAAGGAATAATAGTGAGAAAAAGAGAGTGCTCAGGAAAACTTAATGAAGAAGGTGGGATTTAAATTAGACTTCAAAGAATTACTACCATCTGGATGGGCCTAGGGAATAGAGAAGCATGGTGAGAGGGGAATGGAGAAACAACGTATATAAGGGGAATGAGGATGTTAAGTTTAGGAGCTAGTGAAAAAAGGTTTATCTAATTTAAGAAGTACCATGTGTAAAACCAGATTATAGAGCTTCTTGGAATTGAGGCTGGATTTTAGACTTCAATGTCGTTAAGTAGATTACTAACTTGATGAAAATGGTTTTAAAGAAAAAATCAATTAGCAGTGAAATACAGATGGATTGACAGAAAATTTGGGATGAGGAAGGCCAACCTAGGATATTGTTGGTAGTGAAGACTGAGAGAGGCATGAAGACGAGTTCAAGTTGTAGAAGTGTGGAAAAGGGATGGATATTCATAAATATAATGAAAGAAAAAAATTACTGGTATTATTAATCAGTTGTGGAGGATAAATTTGAGAACTGACTTTAAAAATAATGCAAAGACATCATATATTTAAGCTTTATAGTAGGAAATAAAAAGGAAGACACAATAAAGATGAGTAAAGTGGATGTCAGTTTGTTTCGGAACATTTCTCCAACTCCTGGCCTCAGGTAATCTTCCTGCCTCATCCTCCCAAAGTGCTAGAATTATAGGTGTGAGACACTGCACCTAACTAGCTATGGAACATTTCTGACACAGGTTTGCTTACTCTTTCATATTGGATTTGGGGCAGTATTATTTAGTCTGTGTTTGGAAGTATATGCTTAAAAAGAAAGAAAGAAAGAAAAATACCCACATACAGCGTTCCTGAGATGTTAAGATTAGAAATATTTATTATGAGTTTTAACCCTGCTTCCTCCCACTCTACACTATGCAATGCTATTTCTTTAGATTTCTATCTAGAGAAATTTTTTTCAAAATCAGTTGATGTTTTCAGTACAACTTTGTAATTTTTACAAAGCCAACCTTTCTGGTGATCTCATAGGTTAGAAAAGTTTGCCAAAGAATTGTATATTAAGCAGTGGGTGTTCTTACCTATTTGGAACACTGGAAAATATAGCCCTTGTGTTCTCTTGTCAGGTTGTAGCAGTTCTCTATTCTGATGGAGTAATTTTATCATTACTTGTGTGCAGCTGTGTGTTTTTTACATGATCAAATCAAAATGTTCTTATTGTTTGTTTTGGTTTTTAATTAATCTTTTGGTTATAACATTTTCTCCTGACAGATGCTATAGACCATGATGCCTTTCTAATGGCAGGTCCCAGTTCTGTGAGCAGTTAATAAAACACCATAATGAAATTAGCTTGGCCTCTCTGAAGGTTTATAATGGTAATGATCCAGGACATTTGCCTTCCAGTGAAGGAATGCTATCTTAAAATTAAGAAACCATTTGCCTGTGCCATGAATATTTTATTGGTAACTGAACTGAAATCGATTCTGAAAAAATGAGCAAATAATAAGATATTCCAACTTGTCTGTAATTCATTTTCCTGATATTTTTATGACATAACTGTATATGGTTGTCTCTATAAAGATAGAAGCCAATCTTGAACAGTATCAAAACTCTTTGGCAGTTTGTTACTAGTCCTGATAACAATAATAATGGTCATGAAACAAGTGTAATAATGGATGTAATCAAGAAATACTGGAGAAGTGATACATTGCCTAATTTTGAATACAAAATGAGAGATACCTCCTTTTCTACTTTTTAAAAATGCTGTAGAATGTATAAATTTATGAAAGGTCAACATTTAAAATGTGTATATCACCAAACCAAAGTTTTCAAAACTTTTAAATATTATACTTAAGTATGAGATCTAAACTAATTGGTAATTTGCTGAAGGGTATTAGAATTTAAGTTTCTTTTATCTTTAATTTGATACTATTTTAAAGAGGTTTGCTGCAAGATAGGCACAGGTATCATTGGGAAAAAGCCAGTTTGCTGACTGCCAAGATACTTCATAGGGTGTAAGTTACCATTAACCTTTCCTTGGTTAATGGAAAGATTTCTCACTATAGTAACGTAATTTTACCAATTACCAGAAATGATGAAAATAGGAGTTATACTGGTTATATTAACCAAAATAAGAAAAATAAATAAATCAGGATACCAGGTAGTACTTTTTAGTGAAAAATATGTCTGTTGTGTGAACTAGACTTCTTGTGTTGTATAGGCCAGCACTCGCTCTTTTGGAAGAGATTTATGGGAAATCAAATTATAATCAGAAGACTGTTTTCCTTAGGCATACGTACAGTTAGGACATGGTTCAGATATTAGACATCAGATTATGACCACTTCAAATGTTCCCCTGTACTTGCCCTCAAAGCTGGACAAGTTGACTTGGTGGACCAAGGCACAACTATTAGATACCAACTACCAAGCTTAGTTTCTCTGAATTTGTGTCATACACAGATATCCTCATTTTCTAATATATGCATTCTTTAGATATGATAATGAAGTCTGTCAGATTAAATCAGGTTTTTGTTTTTCTTCTGGACCAATGTCCTTTGCATACGTATTTCTGATTTGTTATCTCCTACTTGTTTCTGTCATATTCCTAACTTGATAAGTTTCAGAAATGACTTACTGCCATGTCTGCCTACATCAAATTAATTGTACAATTCTAGTTAATTAACACTTTTTCCAATTTTAAGCCTTTTTTTTTTTTTTTTTGAGATAGGAGTCTCCCTCTGTCACCCAGGCAAGTGCAGAGACATGATCTTAGCTCACTGCAACCTCTGCCTCCTGGGTTCAAGTGATTCTTGTGCCTCAGCCTCCTGAGTAGTTGGTATTACAGGCTCTCCCCACCACACCCAGCTAATTTTCGTATTTTTTTGTAGAGACGGGGTTTCGCCGTGTTGGCCAGGCTAATTTCAAACTCCTGACCTCAGGTAATCCACCTGCTTCGGCCTCCAAAAGTGCTGGGATTACAGGCAGGAGCCACCATACCCGGACTGCCTTGAGACTTTAAATCAGCCTGTAAATAGTTGTCTGACAGCCAGTGCCCTTTCTAAAATTTTATTGACTAATGTCATTTTTGCACTCTTTTTTCTGCTAAAATTTTCTAGCAATAGACTTATATTTGACTGCCTAAAGCAAAAATAAAGACAGCTCTGTCACAAACCCAAAATTTCTTAATAATCAGAAAAAATAAAAAGGACGTAGGTGGAACATGCTAATTTTCCTAAAGGCTTGTTTCTTCCCTATAATTCTCATTGAGCTGATACCAATTATTTTTTAAAGTACATACTATTTTATTATTTGTATATCAATTCTAAGCAAATTCATTTCATTAATATAAACACATGAAGTCAAAACTTCTTTCCCCATCTTTAATAATGTGCTTCAAAAAAGTAAAATTGTGAACTGGTGTGATTCAGATTCTGGCATGTTTTATTCAGAGGCTGACTTTCACTGTTTGGCTTCCTTTGCTCTTCAAACCTTTATCCATTACTTTCCTGCTATATTTTTTTTCCCACTCGTCTCCTCTCACAAAATGTCTTTTTATTCCCTCAACATCGTCCTCCTAGCTGTGTCACTAATAATGCTGTATATAATAATAGAGCATTTGCATAAAATGGGATGGACTAATAACCAGTGTGTGAAGAGAGCTTATTAGCACTTAGCCATTCATTGGTCCTGATGGAGTTAAGTGAGACAGCTTACCTCATCTGTCAAGGGACACTCACTTCCCCACTTCTAGGATATCCTTTTTGAGGGGCTAGAATCCTTCCAAGTGTTTACAATCTATTCTCAAAACTTCAGTGTTCTCTGTGAGTGCCACGTTCATTTTAGGGTAAGATATCATAGGCTATGTTATTTAGCTACCATACCGAAATAGGTCACCCTGTAACATATTTTGGTGGGTTTTCAAATAGCAGTTTTTAAAAATGTTTGCTTTAATGGTTAATATGTGATTCTCTTGTGCCTCTGGTATCAATAACGTACATGATAAAAATCCAGAATATGAGAGAGACTGGCATTCTGAGGATCATCTTCTGAATTTGGAAAGGATTTTTCAATATTGTTCTGGATTTTCGCTCAACTCCTATAAAGGAACAAGTACATTATTCAGGTCCTGAAACATGCATGTGTGTTCTCAAAATATTTATAATTTCTTAATATGTAAAATTTTCATTTTAGTAAATTCAGATGTCAAGACAGAGTTAGAAAAAAATGGCAAATTATATTCAGTCAGTCTCAGAGCATTTTTATATAACTTAAAGAATGAACTTCTTCAGTTGACAGCCACAGGTAATTTCTAGCCATTTATAAATTTCCCTAGTGTTTTCTGGATAAGAATCAGTGTTCTTATCATTAATAGTTCCTGGAGGGTCAGCTTGAGCAAAGCAGCTTTGGCAGTATTAGTTGAGGCATGTATTGGATTTTTAAATTCGCACTTTTGAAAGTCATTAGTGCTAGGTTTTTAATGCTTTAACGATTTTGAGAATATAAAAACAAGAAAATCCTTTTATCTTTCTTTTTAAATATTGTTACCTTTATATAGTTACTCTGAATCTTATCTTCCGATGACTTCCTTTTTCCAGGCCCCAAATTCTCACCAGTCCATCTCCTTCAAAATCCATTCCAATTCCACAGCCCTTCCGACCAGCAGATGAAGATCATCGAAATCAATTTGGGCAACGAGACCGGTCCTCATCAGCTCCCAATGTGCATATAAACACAATAGAACCTGTCAATATTGATGTAAGTATCTAGCGTTGTGAACTAAAAATCAAGTACATATGTTTATTTTTCTGCTATAATTATGACTTAGATCAGAAATTAGTGCCATTTTTCATTTATCACGTTTATTTTAAGTGATAAGCTTGTGAATCACAAATCAGAAAAGCCTCCTGTTTTCTTCTCTGATGTCATTAAATACTTTACTGGCACCAAGTTATAGAATTACTCTGATTTTTTTTGCCTTATGATATCATCTCTGTAAAAGTTATCTTCAAATGAAAATGGTTTAAATATCAAAGGACTGATAGAAGCCCTTGGTGGAATTGATAAAGTCCTTTAAAACTTATAAAAATGATTATGATTGTGCTAGAAGAGATGAATAAGAAATGAAGAATTTCAGGCCAGGCATTGTGGCTCATTCCTGTAATCCCAACACTTTGGGTGGCCAAGATGAGAGGATTGCTTGACCCAGAAGTTAGAGACCAGCCTGGGCAGCATAGTGAGACCCCATGTCTACCCAAAAAAAAGAAAATTAGCCATGCATGATGAGGCATGCCTGTAGTCCCAGCTACTCAGGAGGCTGAGGTGGGAGGATTGCTTGAGCCCAGGAGGTCAAGGTTGCAGTGAGCTGTGGAGTGCACCATTGCACTCCAGCCTGAGCAACACAGTGAGACCCTGTCTCAAAAAAAAAAAAAAGAATCTAAATCTGTGCTATAAGCTTGGCATTATGACCCACAAAAACTTGATTTTATCTGTGTTTATTTTTAAATTAGCATATAATTGGAACTACAAATTTTATTAAATATTAATATAAAAGAAAAACTATTATAAATTTTAATTTTGTTATGTAAGATATATTTGCAAATCAGACTTTCTTCCCACTTTTTACTAAGAAACTTTATTTTTATTGGGTTCATTTTAAGTACTTTTTTCCAGTACTAGTTTTCCTCAACTAGTAAGGTTTACCTCTAGCAAGACCCAAAAACAAAGGAAGAAAGGAGTAGAAGAGGGAAATACATGGGGAAAAGGAGAGTGTGAAATAAGAAATCAAACCATATGTTCAGGTTAGGGCTTTTCTCAGTCTGTCCAAAATACAGCCTTCATTTTTACTTTGAAAACTATCATCCTTTTAGACTATTCTCTTTTTCTCTGATTGTTACCACTATTTCCTGCTCTGTTGGGCGTCATTTGGAGTGTCATCTTTATATCTTGCCTTTTCATCCTCTCCCATAACCAGTCATAAGATACCACCTTTTTATGTGCATCTCAAACTGGCTTTTACTTATTACTGCCACCATTTGGAACCATATTTTTTCACTTGAATTATATGCTACATTAATCTCCTAAATGGATTTTCTGCTGTTGATTTCTCTCTGTCCATTTCCAATATTTCTGCAACTGTCAGAATAATTTTTTTTACACCTCTAGCATCATTTGTTCTCTTGTTCCAAAACTTTTAGTGACTTACCATTGATTACAAGGTAAGAGTTGAAACTGTAGCATTTTCATTCACGCTCAGTCACTTATTATTCCATTAAAAAGATTTACTATTAACTCTGGACTATGCATTGTGTTAGGCAATTGGGAATTATTTATGAATTAGCACACAGCCTTTGCCCTCAAGGAAGTCACAATCTAATAGTTGAATCAAACATTTAAATAGATAATTACAAAACATATAAAGTTAATTTAGAGAAGGGGGTAATAAACTATCTGGTTGGATCTAGAAATATTGAGCAGAGAGGGGACAACATTTAAGCCAGATGATGATGAATAAGTAAGAGTACAGTAGATAGGGGAGTTAGGAAAGTCATTTGTTAAGGAAATAGTATGTGCAAAGGCATAGAAGTACCTTTACATGGAATGTAATTAATAGTTGATACTAAAGTGTTAGGTCCAGGAGAAGGCTTGGGGAATGGTGGAAGGTGAAAGTAGGTAGGTAAAATCTACAATGAAAGGCTTCATGTGTTAATCTAAAATCTCTAAAGTAGTGCTAGGGAATCTGAAAAATTTTGTGTGAGAGAAAGTAATCAGCTCTATATTTTAGAAAAATCTTTGATGGTAGTGTGGAGGATGGATAAAATGGGAAACATAGAGACAGAACTGTCAATAATGTGGCTTTTGCAGTATTTCAGACAAGAAGTGATAGTGGTTTAAACTCAAGTAATGGCATTGGTGCTGAGAGAGAATGTGTATTGGGGGAAGGGAGACTGAATTAATGAATTAGTGTTAAGAGTCTTAGGAATCATGTTGAAGATGACTACAATTGATGAGTACTTATTATATGTCAGGTATTTTGCTAAGTGCTTTACATAGACTTTCTTATTCCATCCTCATAAAAACTCATAGGTTATGTACTATTATCTTTATTTTACTGTTAAGAAAATTAGATTTACAGAGGTTAAGAAATATGCCCAAGATTACACTGCTGATAAATGATTGAAGTGGGTTTCAAACCTGGCCTTTCTTTCTTAACTACTATACTGTTCTGTAGTAGAGAAGAGGAGTGAAAAACATGAGAAGTAGAGGACAGTACCAGATTTCTGGCTTACAGATACTTAACTTATAACCAGGTTTCTGGTTAATAGCACCATTTGTTAAGATAGAAAATGCCAAAGGAAAGCAATGTTTGCAGAAGCAAAAATTTTAGCTTTTTGGTGGGATATGTTGACTTTAAGATGCCTGTGGGACTTTCAAGTTTAGAAATCTAGTAGCAGTTGGATATAAGAATCTTGAGTAGAGATACAGATTTAGGAGTAATTAGCATATTTATGTCAGTTAAAGCCTTGGATGTAAATTTCTCAAAAAGCACACGTAAATTGAAAAGGGGAGAAAATGCAACCCTGATGAACATTAACATTGAAGGTGCAGGCAGAGACTCTCTGTCTCCTTTATGGCCTGGCTCTTCCTAAATCGACAGCTCCAGGTAACTAAGAAAAAGTTTTGCAGAAGCCAAAGGGAGAAAAGGGATTTCAAGAATACTGAAATAGTTGGTATCAGTCACCATTAAGATTCAAATCTTAAGATAAAAGTCAAGAGATGGAGACCATCCTGGTCAACATGGTAAAACCCCGTCTCTACTGAAAATACAAAAATTAGCTGGGTGTGGTGGCCTGTGCCTATAGTCCCAGCTACTCAGGAAGCTGAGGCACGAGAACTGCTTGAACCCGGGAGGCAGAGATTGCAGTGAGCCGAGATAGTGTCATGGCACTGTAGCCTGGCAACAGAGCCAGACTCTGTCTCAAAAAAAAATAAAAAAATAAAGATTCAAATGAAACAAAGACTAAAATGACTATTAAGTTTGGCAATTGAAGTGTCATCTCTACTTCACTGAGAGCCATTTTAGAGACCAGTAAGAGGAGAAAGCAGCAAGTGAGGAAGTAGGATTAAGTGTTAATTTTGAGAAGCTTGGCTGTAAAAGAGTGACATAAGAGGATAGCTTGATGCAGGGTTGAGGTACAATTTTTGTGTGTGTGTGTGCTGTTTTTTGGGTTTGTTGTTGTTTGTTTGTTTGTTGTTTGAGACAGAGTCTCGCTCTGTCATTCAGGCTGAAGTGCAGTGGTACAGTCTCTGCTCACTTCAACCTTCACCTCCCAGGTTCAAGCAGTTCTCGTGCCTCAACCTCCGAGTAGCTGAGATGACAGGCTCCTGCCATCACACCTAGCTAATTTTTTTTTTTTTTAAGATGGAGTTTTGCTCTTGTTGCAATGACACGATCTCGGCTTACTGCAATCTTCATCTCCCTGGTTCAAGCAATTCTCCTGCCTCAGCCTCCCCAGTAGATGGGATTACAAGCATACACCACCACGCCCAGCTAATTTTGCATTTTTGGTAGAGACAGGGTTTCTCCATGTTGGTCAGGCTGGTCTTAAACTCCTAACCTTAGGTGATCCACCCACCTCAGCCTCCCAAAGTGCTGGGATTGCTGACGTGAACCACCATGCCCAGCCAATTTTTGTATTTTTAGTAGGGACAGAGTTTTGCCATGTTGGCCAGGCTGGTCCTGAACTCTTGACCTCAAGTGATCCACCACCAGCCTCAGCCTCCCAAAGTGTCGGGATTACAGGCGTGAGCCACTGTGCCTAGCCAAGGAATAGTTGTTTTTAATGTAAGAGACATTAGTTTATTTGGAACTGGAGAGGAAAAAGCCAACTGAAGAGAAGTTGAAGATAACAAAAGAGAGAATAATTGATGTAATAAAATTCCTTGAACTTGGAAATTCTCTCAGAGACTGTGAAGAATTAAAGATAGACATAGCTTGCTCTGTAACTGTTTACAGACTGTGTGATGTTGGTCAAATTATTTAACACTGGGGCTAGCAGTGTCTACCTTCTATAGTGGTTTGAATTGCTTATTATGCCTGGTATATAGTAAGAATTGAGAAATTATAACTAATATTAATATGTAAATATAGATGTTAGAGTAGGAAAGTTGTTTGATGGCTTTTATTTTCTCTATTGTAATGAAGGGAAGGGACTACAAAAGAGTGGAAAAAAAGTTTGGAATATCCAGTTTTCAAATGTTAAAAGAACTTTCGTAACCTAGAATGAGTAGAAAATATTGTCAGGGAGCTTTAAGAACACATTCGAAATTGAAGAATCTTAAGTTTATCTTGTTACCAGCAGTAACTTGTAAGAGTGGAGAAAGCAAAATTTGGTTAATCCATACTTGTAGGGAATTTCAGAGCTGATACAACAACAAAGAAAGGGATACGGCCTTTCTCCTGTAGTTCCTTCCATCTAAGACTCTGCTTTGCCTTTCTACATGCCTATCTGTCTCTTAAACCCCAAGTCAGAGTAATTATTTGACTGCTTTACTAGTGACCAAGTCCTATAGTTACCATTCATAGCCCTAAAAATCTTATAACCCGTATCACTGAGTTGCTAATCAACTAAGCAACAAACTTTGGCATCTCTTTTATTATATTCTTATGCAGTTATTCTTAAATTATTTGATTTTCACTTACTTCCATCTTCCAATGTGTACATCTTACTTCCAATGAGATTGTAAGCTCTCAAGAATGGAAAATTTAATGACATCACTAGGATTTTTATTTGTTGGTAACCACATAACTCCTACCACCTTGTTTTCAGGTATGTATTTGATTATTCTGTAGAAAATGTTGAAGGCTTTATGTGATACATTGAGCATAATAGAAATAAATCTTTAAAGAATTTGCTTTTGCCTCTAAACAAAAAGTTGTCTATTTGCAAAGACTACTTAGAGACCTTTGGGGCCATTCAATCCCTCGTATTTAAGTTAAACTAAATAAACAGGCTAATGCAAGTTCTAGCTATCAAGGCCCAAATTGCATTACCAGTAGAGACTGTCCCTGCTACCAACGTTATTATAAAGATATATATATATATATATATATATATATATATATATATTATATAAATGCTAAATTATATATTAAATATGTATTTATATACTACATATAAATATATATATTATATATACATATATATTATATATATATGTATTTTTTTTTCCCTGTGATGGAGTCTTGCTCTGTCACCCAGGCTGCAGTACAGTGGCACAATCTCGACACACTGCAACCTCTGCCTCCTGGGTTCAAGCAATTCTCCTGCCTTTGCCTCCTGAGTAGCTAGGATTACAGATGTTTGCCACCATACTCAGCTAATTTTTGTATTTTTAGTAGAGATGGGTTTCACCATGTTGGCCAGGCTGGTCTCAAACTCCTGACCTCGTGATCTGCCTGCCTCCCATCGTGCTGAGATTACAGGCATGAGCCACCATTCCTGTCCCATAAAGAGCTATATTTTAATAATAAAGACAAATTTTAGTGACCAGGCACAGTGGCCCATGCCTGTAATCCCAGCACTTTGGAAGGCCAAGGTAGATAGATCACCTGAGGTCAGGAGTTCAAGACCAGCCTGGCCAACATGGTAAAACCCCACCTCTACAAAAAATACAAAGATTAGCCGGGCATGGTGGCATGTGCCTGTAGTTCGCAGGTACTCATGGCACTAAGGCAGGAGGATCACTTGAACTTAGGAGGCTGAGGTTGCAACAAGCCAACATCTTGTCACTGTACTCCAGCCTGGGCAATAGAGCCACTCAGTCAAAAAAAAAAAAAAGAACAAACTTAAGGACTGGACTGATGAAACCATTTTTTAAAACATTTATTTCCAAAGTTCAGGGGTACATGTGCAGGATGTGCAGGTTTGTTACATAGGTCAGTGTGGGCCACGGCAGTTTGCTGCACAGATCATTCCATTACCTAGGTATGAAGCACAGCATCCATTAGCTGTTCTTTCTGATGCTGTCCCTCCTTTCACCACCCACCTTCCAACAGGCCCCAGTGTGTGTTCCCCTCAACATGTCCAAATGTTCTCATCATTCAGCTCCCACTTAAAGTGAGAAAACGTGGTATTTGGTTTTCTGCTCCTCTGTTAGTTTGCTGAGGATAATGGAAGCCATTGGTTTTAAATGGCCTGAAATGGATTTCAAGATTTGATCAGGACTAATAATTCTTTCATTATAGATTTACATTGGCAAGTGCGTCAAAATTTAGATTTTATGTTTACTAGGTAAGTCCAAATTGTTTTATGTACTCGTTATAAGACATGTTGTTGTAATTATTTAAATAATTCTGTTCATGTTAGTGGAAAATTCAGTGTTATAACTACTTTCTGACTATATGCTTTGAATAAATACACATTACTATTTATTTGTAGGACTTGATTAGAGACCAAGGATTTCGTGGTGATGGAGGTAAGTAGTGATTTCAGTTTTCTTTTAAAACTCAGGGAAAATGCAATTGCTTTGCTGCTTATCTCCTTTATACTTGCCTCTTTCATGACACACAGACACAGAGAAAAATGTGTAGAGAAACCCCAAATTTTTTTGTTTTTCTATAGTATTTGTCATTTATCTTTAATAAAACATTAACTGATTTATAACGTGAGTAGAGAAGATGGACATAAAAAGTAGTCTTAAATGTACTATCTACATTTTAAAATATCTTCCAATATCAGACAAGATTGAGTACCCTCAGTATGGTATGGCCATAGACTACAGTTTTAAAATATCTTACCAAGGAGAGATCCTTCTAACCATCTCCAAAGCTATTGTTGATAAATTTCCTTTGTGAGGCTCCACTGATACTTAAAGACTGAGTTTAGAATCAGATAAAACTTTACTTTGCTAAGTCATTCTGAAGAGGGGTTTGTGAGATATTATCAACACTTCCTTTCAACTTTCTGGAAATGTTTTAAATGTACATTTTATAGCACAGACCCATAATGGCAAAGCCCATTTGCCCTCTTATAAGAGGTGATAATTGGAGACTATCTTGATGTTTTCTTAGGATGTTCTTTATACTTACCTTATCTGCTGTCTTCTGTCTAGTAAGGAAGACATGTAATAACTGCTTATCATGCTTAGAGTTGATCTCTTAACTGTAACCTTCATCTTCAAAATATCTAAGCCCAGTCTCAACAATATTTTATATTGAGTAAACATTGTTATAAGCCTTCTTTTGTTATGTTTCTGTATACCCATGAAGCAACCAAAATAATAATCAGCCTGCATTCTATACACTGGACTTGATATTGATGATAGCACATAGTTAAACAGGCTTTTTTTTTCTGTTTGTTTTTTCATGAACCTGCCAATTAATGTTGCTGCCAGTTTGACTTTCATATGTCTTAATAGCTGTTGCTTTTGATAATTTTGCCTCCTAATACATCCAGCATTTAAATGTTGCCATCATGTTAACATCACAAAATTAACTTAGTCCTAAACACAGCCTGCTTGGTACCTAAAATCAAGTGGCATTTCTTGTCCTTTTCATGAGTCACTTTTTTAAAAAATCATTGGGATTTTGTGAAAATGAGCAGATTTTTTTGGTCCAGATTATTTTATGAAGCAGGCTTCGATTCATCTTGTTTATTCCCCATGACTTCTTTCATTTCTTCTGTGTGTCTGTCTTCCTGTGTTTGCCTGCCCCTCTCTTTCTCTTCTAACAGCCCCTTTGAACCAGCTGATGCGCTGTCTTCGGAAATACCAATCCCGGACTCCCAGTCCCCTCCTACATTCTGTCCCCAGTGAAATAGTGTTTGATTTTGAGCCTGGCCCAGTGTTCAGAGGTAGTTGGGCTCTTCTTTCTTGTTTTCACCCAAAGCATACTAAATATACAACTACAGATGCTTTTTGTGCCTCACCCTCACAACGTGTGTTTGTAAGTGTGAAAGTTTTCAGTACTAAATTTCTGCTTGGCCTGGCTGGAATGCTCTGAATGTGCTTCTCACACATACTCACTGCCACAAGCTTTCTGTATGCTGTCTGTCATAAATTGTTTAAACAAGAAAATACTGACCTGAGATTTCCATCTTGTTTTTTGCTATTTTATTACTAATTGATCTTGATAATTTCTTAAACTTAGTGGGTGGGAATAAATAAGGTGGGTGGGGAAGAGCTTACTGGATTCCTTTGATTTTAATGCATTTAAGTGATTATTCTTGATGACTTAATAATTTGTTAATAATTTTGTGGTTTTTAAAAAAATTAAAATGTCAATGGAAACTTCTATTATGATATTTTATTAGGCTTTTGGCCTTTTTTGAGATTCTGTAATACCAGCAGTGTTTTTTGGGTTTTTCTTTCCCCCAATATGGGATGTGTATATTTTTGTCAAAGGTAGGGAGCTGTTAAAAAAAAAAAAAAAAAAAAAAAAAGATTTATAACATATTTTAGATATTTTAGTGTACTTCAGAAATTTGAGGATTTTTCCTTTAATTATGTCCTAATAGAAGAAAGTTTGCAGTATAATTTCATTCTCCCATTTCATTTTGCCATGTTTTATTTAGTAGTTAAACTGATTTATAAAAACTTAGATCAGGCCAGGTGTGGTGACTCACACCCATAATCCTAGCACTTTGGGAGGCCGAGGCGGGCAGATCACCTGAGGTCAGGAGTTTGAGACCAGCCTTGCCCGCATGGTGAAACACCATCTCTACAAAAATACAAAAAAAAAAAAAATTAGCTGGGCATGGTGGTGAGTGCCTGTAATCCCAAGCTCCTTGTGAGGCTGATGCTGGAGAATCGCTTGAACCTGGGAGGCAGAGGTTGCAGTGAGCCGAGATTGTGCCACTGCACTCCAGCCTGGTGACCTAGCGAGACTCTGTCTCCAAAAAAAAAACCTAAGTCAAAATTGGGACAAATGTGTTGCTATAAATGTTTTTAAAGATTTATAATTACTGACTCTTGCTAGTTAGCATCTGTTATTTATTCTGAATTTAGTAATGATGTCTTAGATTTTGCTCTCTCAGCCCTGCTGTTTCTCAGAAAATCCATAGAATGGGATGGAAGTCATACAGTAGTGAGTAATACAATTAAATTAAGTAATACAATAAAACTACCTAGTAGATCATAACTATGAAGCCTCAAGCAGTTAAGCCTTTATAATGTTGAAAATTATCAGTGGAAGGTAGAAAATGGATTGTGTTCTACTTAATAGATATTCTGGGTACCATTTTATTTCAGAAAATTGCATATGAGATCATGAAAATTCCACATGGTGATACAATATGATGTAATAATGGTAAAAAAATTTTCTACAAATTTAACATTTAAATGTGGTTATTGGTACCCTTGTTAGCTGAAAGATAAAAGAAAGTGGCCCTTTTTTTCCTTAAGAGTAGCAATTATTTTTTAAAAAACATTTTCTTGAGGTCATTTTGTTGTTCTGTGTATAGAACTATTAACTGGACATCTCAGTCCTACTCAGCTGTACTCAGGCCTCAGTAAGAGTCACTGCCCTGAACCAGGTGCTACTATACCTTCACTCAGGATGTTTGCTATGAGAAAGGTATGCAACCCTGCCAACTGAGATCACTTCCAAAGAGTATATTCCTCAGGCTCGCTCGACCTATAGAATATTTGTATTTATAGTAACTTGGCTGAGAGGCCATAGCACTTACTTACAAAGCTCTCACTTACAAAAACAGAGATTTTTCAGAAAGTCTTGAGAAATATGCTTGGCCTTATTTACGTTAACTTTGTTTTGTAGGTAACAAATAATCTTTGTTTAATAGTGTAAGCCTCCAGGAACCAATGGTACTGACCAATATCTCTTAAATAGTAGAGCACGTAGTTTAGGATTGTATTTGAATTTAGTGGTTCATGAATAAGCCAGATATTTTCAGCATTATGGCCATTATTAGAAAATGTTTTCATTTGGGGTTTCGGTTTTTTTAATGTTGATTGGCTGTTGAAGTAATATAAAATAATTAATTAAAAGTTTACTTATTATGTAGGCTTTTACATTGATTTTGCTTTTTTATTTTTTTATCAAAGAAACAAACTTGGGAGGTTTTTTTTTTTGGTATTTTTCTCTTGTTTTAGAGAGACTGTTTTTCTCCTAAACTTTGTATCAGTAAACAAAGTATGTGTCTATCATCAGATATCTTGAAGGTCATTAAATTGGCCAGAAAACTAAAAGAAATTACAGTTCTAATCACCAAATGAGATCCCTTTTTGGCCTATCCTTTCCAAAAGGTGTATATTTAAACATGCAGTAGAATTAAAATTAAGTCTAAATATCCCCCACCTTCTGCCCCTTATAAATTAATGTACTTGCTCCTCCTTAACGGATACATTTTTCTTGTCACTAATTTAGGATCAACCACAGGTTTGTCTGCCACACCTCCTGCCTCATTACCTGGCTCACTCACTAACGTGAAAGCCTTACAGAAATCTCCAGGACCTCAGCGAGAAAGGAAGTCATCTTCATCCTCCGAAGATAGGAATCGAATGGTGAGAGTATATGATATCGTTTTTTCTCTAGGTACTTTCTTCTTAGAAGTCATAGCCAAATGTAATATTATCCTTTAGATATATTATGTCCATATGTGACACAGAATTCCCATAATCAAAAAAAATTTAAAAGCTGATAGTTTTTTGCTTAAAGTATATTTCCATAGGACTGCTTTTTGCTCTCATCTGTAATATAGTTTAGTAAAAGGCAGTTTTGGAAGAGTAACAGTAGTGCTGTTAGAGAGAAAGCTAGTATTAGAAGGCATGAAAAGGCTACTCAAGAATTCAGATATCTACTGAAAGACATTCTTCCCTTCTGCTGCAAAATGAATTCACCATGGCACATGTACACCTGTGTAACAAACCTTCATGTTCTGCACATGTATCCCAGAATTTAAAGTAAAATAAAAAATACAATTAAAAAATGAATAGTTTTTAGTCACAGTATTGCTACTAATTGTTGAATAAGTGGATCTTTTAACCTACCAAAGTAATTTTATAGGTTAAATTTTTTTTTTTGTAAAGACTGAATTAGATAAGACACATGAAGACGTTTAGCACTGATTGAAAAAGAGTACTTAGATAAATTGTCAATAGTTACCATAGGTTAACTTAAATTTTTTGTGATTTGGAGTCAAAACTACAAATATAGCAGCACTTAACTTGCTCCTTACAGTCTTCCAGATGATAAAAACATTTTACTTATTTCAGTAATATACATTCCTGTTCATACTCCATAAATAATTTCTATTTTTTAATAAATTGTTCCTAAACTAATACTGACTTCAATCTTTAAGTTTTCTATTTTAAGAGTCAGACTTTTAACTATTGTTCCTCCAGAATGTTGTTTTTTTCAGGGTATCTCTTCCTATATTCCTGTCAGGCATAAGGTAATATACTTAGGGTGAAAGAAGTTTTTCTTTTTTTGTTTGGTTTGACTTGATTTTTGTACTATTTTTATCAAGAAAACACTTGGTAGACGGGACTCAAGTGATGATTGGGAAATTCCTGATGGGCAGATTACAGTGGGACAAAGAATTGGATCTGGATCATTTGGAACAGTCTACAAGGGAAAGTGGCATGGTATGTATGTAATATGGTGACATTGTGACAGATCATAATAGGATGTGTTAAACAACTTTTATTAAAAAAAAAAATCAAAGGAAATATTCACTGTTTGCATCAGTAAGCTATTTTGATTAGATTCGGGTATCCTCCCAATGTTTCTAACAAAAATTATGGGAATAAAAACTGTTCACAGCAGTCAGGACTCCTATTTTTATATTACAGTAATAATTTTTAAAAAGGAAATCCTCCAGGTTAGCTAGTCCTCAAAAAGACCTTTTTTTCTTTTAGAAGTCTTTCAGCTGATTATTTGTATTATCACAAGTAAACATATTAAAAGTGTACCTCCTAGCCAGGTGCAGTGACTCACACCTGTAATCCCAGCACTTTGGAAGGCCGAGGTGGGCAAATCACCTGAGGTCAGGAGTTCGAGACCAGCCTGGGCAACATGGTGAAAAACCCATCTCTAATAAAAATACAAAAAGTAGCTGGTCGTGGTATCAAGCATCTGTAGTCCCAGCTACTTGGGAGGCTGAGGCAGGAGAATCACTTGAACTTGGGAAGTAAAGGTTGCAGTGAGCCAAGAATCCGCCACTGCACTCCAGCCTGGCAACAGAGTGAAATTCTGTCTCAACAACAACAACAAAAAATGTACTTACTAAAGGGAGAAATATAAGTGGCCAGTAAACATATATAAAATGTTCAGCCTCACTAGTTAACAAAAAAATTGCAAATTCAAAAAATAGAAATCATTATTTGCCTCTCAGTTGGACACAAAAGCTTTTTAAATTGGATTGTATTTAGAGTAATTAACATATTTTCATCAAAGATTTAATATTAGTGAAAAATAAAAATGAACATGTTTCCAACTAATAGATAATTAGATAAATTGATACCTCTATATATGATTATGTAGGAGTTAAAATTGCGTTAGTGGGGCTAATTATTGATATAGAAAGGTGTCTTTATTGATAAAGAAAATGGCATAGTAGAGCTATTTATTGATATATAGAAAGGTGTCTTTGGTATATGAAATTTTACAAAGCAATATGTATAATATGCCATATTATGGAGCTCATGGAAATGTATAACATAATTTTTTATATGACAGTATTTTAGTATGTGTCTTCTTAAGCTGTCTTTTCACAGATACTCATAAATATTGACACTGCATTCAGGTAAAAGCCTAATAAGGTATACATTAGTATATTGTCACTTTTAACGGAATTTTTTTATACCTTCAAAATGATTTTAAACATTTAAGTGCTGTGCAGTATTTTAGGATACAAACAATAGAATAAGCACTGTATTACTCTGAGAAAAATCAGTGTTGATTTAACTTATTAAAATTTAATATACATACAGGTTGAGTTTCTTTCCTTCCCTCCCTCTCTTCGTCCCTGCCTCCCCCTCCCTCACTCCCCCCACCCTCTCTCTCTCTCTTATGCTCGCGCGCTCTCTCTCTCTCTCTCTCTCTCTCTCTCTCTCTCTTCTTTCTTCCCTCCCTTCACTCTATCACCCAGGCTGGAGTGCAGTAGCATGATCTCAGTGCACTGCAACCCCTGCCTCCCAGGTTCAAGTAGTTCTCCTACCTCAGCTTCCCAAGTAGCTGGGATTATAGGCATGCACAATCATGCCTGGCTAATTTTTGCATTTTTAGTAGAGATGAGGTTTTGCCGTATTGGCCAGGCTGCTCTCAAACTCTTCACCTCAGGTGATCCACCTGCCTCGGCCTTCCAAAGTACTGGGATTACAGGCATGAGCCACCACGCCTGGCCAGGCTGCGTGTCTTTAATCCAGAATCCAAAACTTTCTGAGCATTGACATGACGCTCAAAGGAAATGCTTCTGGAGGATTTCAGATTTGAATTAAGGGTAAGTATAATCAAAGGATTCCAAAATCAGAAAAAATTTGAAGTTTGAGACACTTCTGGTCCCAAGCATTTCAGATGAGGGATACTCAGCCTGTGCATAAAAGTGCACATACATTAGCCAGGCACGGTGACACATGCGTGTAGTCCCAGCTACCGAAGAGGCTGAGGTGGGAGAATTGCTTGAGCCTGTGACTGCAGTGAGCCATGATCACACTACTGTACTCCGTCCAGCCTGGGTGACAGAGCAAGACTCTTATCTCTAAAAAAATAAAATAAGCAGAACATTACTAGCACTCTAGAAACATCCCCCTGTGTCCTCTTCCAGCCAGTCACCCCTCTACCAAGGGTAACCACCATTGTGATTGCAACAGGAATCAAATAGTTGTGTGCTCTTCATGTTGGTCCCTTTCACTCAACAGTGTTTATAAGATTCATCTATATTGTTGTGTGTAATTGGAGGTCATTCATTCTGTTTATAGTATTTCATTGTGTGACTATATCATGATTTCTTATTTCATCTGTTGCAATTGGATCCTTTCCAGTTTGGGGCTTTTGTGGATGCTGGTGCTGTAAACATTTTTAGTATTTATCTTTTGGTGAATGTGTCCATTGCTGGGTATGTACCTAGGAGAGAATTGTGAGACCACAGGATATTCATATGTCCAGTTTTAGTAATGCTGCCAACAGTGTTACAAAGTAGTTGTACTAATTTAAACACCTACTGACAATGTTGAGAGTTGCAGCTGTTTCACATAAAGTGTTTTTTTATTTTAGTGACAATTTTAGTCATTTTCCTAATCCAAAGCATCCTAAGTACTCCATAAATTTGAAAAAAATTTAACTACTCTGATTAAAAAGTTTTATAGTGTCCTACTTTTAAGCAAAGCTCCATATGGCCTGTTACTTGTAGTTTCAACATTACTTTAGTTTCAGTTAATAAAGAAGTATTAAGCCTAGTAAATGTAATTTAATATTATCAAATAATTTGGAAAATACCATGGGTACTTAATCTGTTTCACTGAATTTCCATGTAACAAACAAGGTTAGCTATTTTTTGGATTGACATTTTGAAATACTAGTACACGAATATCATTGTTAGTTGAGTTTTTAGCCTTAGAAAATTAATAGAGTTTAGATCATTAAAGTGTAAGTTATTTATGATTTAATAATGGTATGGAGTTAGGACTATGATAATTAGTGAAAATATCCAAGAATGTTTTATACTTTTACATTTTAAAAATTGAAATGACACTTGGAATAACAATTGCCTTTTAGGTGATGTGGCAGTCAAAATGTTGAATGTGACAGCACCCACACCTCAGCAGTTACAAGCCTTCAAAAATGAAGTAGGAGTACTCAGGTGAGCTTGTGTGAATTACTGTTTTCCAGCGAAGGAAGTTATTTTTTTTAGCCCCTGGTTCCCAGTGGTAGCCCCTATTAGCTTTACAGATTTACTCAAAAGGACTAAATTTTTGGAAACAGAGTATGTCTGAGTATATTTTTGTCTTTAACCGCATTCTTTTAAGTAGTATGTTATATGGTACAGATGATAGAATACTTAATCCTAGACTGAATTAATGGAAGTATAATATTCTTCTAACGTAAAATAAAAGTTCTACTTATGAAAAGAATACTCTCCAGTTTTTAAGCTTATCAGAGTCCATTTAGAGATTGTATTTAGTCCTGGGCTCTGGAACTTTAGAAACATTAACAAACTATAGAGTATGTCCAGCGAGGACCACCTAAATAGGGAAGATTCTATAGGCGTTACGGGGAAAAATAATCAACAGAACTGAGAATATTTAGTTCAGAGAAGTCTGTTTTGCTCAAGAGAGTGCAGAGTTGTTCCAGAGTGCAGGAAAAAAGTTATTCCAGTGAGCAGACCAGGGAAGCAAGCCAGAGGTGAAAGCTGTAGGAAAATGATTTTGTCTCAACATTTGGAAACTTTCTAATACCAGAACTTACATAAAGATATGGGAAGGCCGGGCGAGGTGGCTCAAGCCTGTAATCCTAGCACTTTGGGAGGCCGAGGTGGGTGGATTACGAGGTTAAGAGATCGAGACCGTCCTGGTCAACATGGTGAAACCCCGTCTCTACTAAAAATACAAAAAATTAGCTGGGCATGGTGGTGTGTGCCTGTAGTCCCAGCTACTCAGGAGGCTGAGGCAGGAGAATTGCCTGAACCCAGGAGGCGGAGGTTGCGGTGAGCCGAGATCGCACCATTGCACTCCAGCCTGGGAAACAAGAGCGAAACTCTTGTCTCAAAAAAAAAAAGAAAAAAGATATGGGAGTCAGCTGCATACTCAGTGATGAACTTCCCATCATTAAAGGTATTTAAGCCACCTCTAATTGCCTGTCAGATATATTTAAAAAGATATTTCTGCATAAGGTAGGAGGTTAGACTTGGCAATTCCTAGTCTCTTCTAAATTTATCCTTTTGTTGCTTTTTTAAAAAAAATACTGGCCGGGCGCAGTGGCTCACGCCTGTAATCTCCACACTTTGGGAGGCCAAGGCGGGCAGATCACAAGGTCAGGCGATCAAGACCATCCTGGCTAACATGGTGAAACCCCATCTCTACTAAAAATGCAAAAATTATCCAGGCGTGGTGGCAGGCACCTGTAATCCCAGCTACTCAGGAGGCTGAGACAGGAGAATCACTTGAACCCAAGAGGCAGAGTTCACAGTGAGCCGAGATGGCGCCACTGCACTCCAGCCTGGCGACAAAGCAAGACGCCATCTAAGAGAAAAAAAAAAATCTTTTTCTGACAACATTTTACCAATAGGTAGACTACTTTGGTTCTCTTTTATAAGAATTGCTAAAATTTGTCGACATTTAACATTTACTGTCACATTTCTTTGTACAGGAAAACACGACACGTGAATATCCTTCTCTTCATGGGCTATTCCACAAAGCCACAGCTGGCTATTGTTACCCAGTGGTGTGAAGGCTCCAGCTTGTATCACCATCTCCATATCATTGAGACCAAATTTGAGATGATCAAACTTATAGATATTGCACGACAGACTGCACAGGGCATGGAGTAAGTTCCATTCCGTTAAATGTCTTGTAAATTATTTTTGAAAACCATTGAGGATGTTTTAAAGGTTTTGGCTGCTATTCTTTTGAATTGCATTTTAAATTACTGTCAAGGAATATAAGGATGATAACTAATGGCTAGTAAATGATATGATACTAAAGAATAAATGTCTCTGTCTAGTGCAGACTTCAGAACATATATCAAGTATTTGGTAATAAATACATGACTGCAAATTTAGTTCAGCACTCAGTGATTTAGTGAAGCAATGAAGATTCAGAAGACAGAAATGGCAAAAACCTAAAAAATTGTTAATGGTTGTTGAAGTAAACAAAACAGTTAATTAGTTAACCATTAATTAGTTACTTTTAAAAATCATTTTCTCTGAGTGCCCATATTTTTTGTTTCAAAATGGTCAGTTAATAAAGTGAAAAATCTACATTCTTTTGCTTTTTGAGGATTTCAAAGTGAGTTCATATCTGTTGAATTTTGCTATGCAATTTAAAGATAAAGAGTTATTTTATAAAGTTTATCATAAGCTAATATGGGGAACTGACTTTGAAGGAAAAATTTTAAATTTTGCCTGGAACTCAAGTGTAAATGAATAGGTAAATTAAAAAGTAAAATTAAATAAATTTGAAAGCACTTAGATGAAATTTTTTTTTTTTTTTTTTTGAGACAGAGTTTCGCTCTTGTTACCCAGGCTGGAGTGCAATGGCGCAATCTCCGCTCACCGCAACCTCCGCCTCCTGGGTTCAGGCAATTCTCCTGCCTCAGCCTCCTGAGTAGCTGGGATTACAGGCACGCGCCACCATGCCCAGCTAATTGTTTGTATTTTTAGTAGAGACAGGGTTTCACCATGTTGACCAGGATGGTCTTGAACACCTGACCTGGTGATCCACTCGCCTCGGCCTCCCAAAGTGGTGGGATTACAGGCTTGAGCCACCGCGCCCGGCCTAGATGAAATTATAAACTCAGCAAAATATAAATTTGAAAGCTCTGTGAGAAGTTTAAAAATAGGTGTGATCTTAATTATTTTGTTTTTACAAATGGCTTTCACTTGCATAGATTATTATATCATTTAATCTTTATAATGTTATGAAGTAGATCTTTTTTTTTTTTTTTTTTTTTTTTACAAATAAGGAAATTGAGGCTTTTAAGTGCCTTGCCTAAGGGCACACATTTAATAAGTGACAGCAAAGGTGTTTAACTCAAGATTTCTGGCTCCCAAAGTATTCTTTTCCCCATAACCACTGTGCTACTTTTTTACATTATAAAATTAGAATAAAAGAGTAAAAGGGTATATATGTCCTAACACCTACAACTCTGACTCAGTATTACTTCTAGCAAGTAAGTGTAGAGCCAAGACTCAAAACCAGATCTGACTCTTAAATCTTCAAACTATACCACCTTCTCTTTCTCAAAACTAGGTAATATATCTGTAATTTAGATTGTTTATAAGCCTATTTTCAGCCAAAATACTTATTACAGCAAATTATTACCTTATTCAGCAACACTCCCACTTAACCCCAGACTTGGAACAATCTCAGCCGTTCTGATAAGTTAGAATCTCTTAATCTGTTCAAATCTAAAGGCTTTTAAAGAATTTAAATCTTGTGAAGAGTAAACCACGACAAAAATTGTAAACATTTGGTACTTCCCACACCACTGGTCTCTTTGCGCTTTCTTCGGCAGGCCAAGCATGTTCCTTCTTTAGGACCTTTATGTTTGTTGTCTCTTTAGGATATACATGCCACAAATACCCTTATGTCTCTGTTCGTATGTCCCCTTTTAATAGAAACCTCTGCTCACCTTTTATAACTAACATGTCCCCACATCACTCTGTTACTCTATATACCCATCGGCTTGATTTTTCTTTATTATGCACAGCTCCATCTTTATTGTTTATTATCTTTCATCCCCACTAGAATGCAGGCTGTATGACAGCTGGGGCTTGTTTTTTTTCCTTTCTTTGTTCCTAATGCCTAGAATGGGACCTGCCATACTCAATACATAACTATTAAATGAAAGAATGATTACATACAACTGCATATTATTGATAGATTTACCTTTTAGAAGAGAGAAAAGCCAAATCCTTCTCATATCACAACTGAGAAATGTGGCTGAGCATGTTGGCTCACACCTGTAATCCCAGCATTTTAGAAGGCCAGGGTAAGAGGATTGCTTGAGCCTAAGAGTTCAAGTCCAGCCAGGGCAACATAGGGAGACCGTTGTCTCTATAAAAAATAAAAAATTTAGCCAGTTATGGTGGCATTTGCCTGTAGTCCTAGCTACTCAGTAGGCTGAGGTGGGAGTATCACTTGAGCCCAGGAGTATGAGGCTGCAAGGAGTCATGATCGTGCCACTGTACTCCAGCCTGGGCAACTGGACGAGACCCTGTCTCAAAACACACAGGCTCTGTGCAGTGGCTCACGCCTATAAACGCAGCACTTTGGGAGGCCAAGGTGGATCCCTTGAAGTCAGGAGTTCAAGACCAGCCTGGCCAACATGGTGAAAATTAGCCATGCATGGTGGCATGTGCCTGTAAGCCCAGCTACTCAGGAGGCTGAGGCAGGAGAATTGCTTGAACACGGAGGCAGAGGTTGCAGTGAGCCAAAATTGCGCCACTGCACTCCAGCCTGGGTGACAGAGTGAGACTCCACCTCAAAAAAAATTTTTTTAATTGTTTTTAATGCCTGTAATCCCAGCACTTTGGGAGGCCGCAGCAGGAGGATTACCTGCACTAAGGATTGCCTGCACTAGCTTGGTCAATATGGCAAAAACCCTGTCTCTACAAAAACAAACAAAAGAAAAAAAAGAAACGGTGATGGAGCAGAAGTGCCAGGATTAATTAAGACAAGCAGTGACAGTCGAGAAGAACATTATCAAATTGGAATAATGCTGTAGTCTGAAGAACAGTCAATGAAGAGGTGATATTTTTTCAAAATGTCACTTTACAGTTTGGGATTATCTATGTAAACTTTACAGTTACCTACTCTGAAACACCTTGCTTATTTTTAAATAGATCTCATCATTTAACACGATGCAATCAGTATACGATGCTGTGAACATAGATCATTCCATTCAGTTTATCCAAGATTTTAGTAGCTGAAAAAGTACTAATTCCAAGTTTTAAGCCCTGCAGCAGAGTGTGCTTTTTATTACCGGTTTAAAATTAACCAAAGAAGATACAGTTTCTTTTCCCTATTTGTTTCTTCTTATAAGATAATAACATGCAACTTGTTAAATGTACCAATACATCTTCAGTTTCTGAAGGCTTTGTCAGGTTGAAACTCCTCTTACTAACAGGGCTATGTGGGTTTCAGATTAAGGTGACAGATTTTTGATATCTCCTGGAACTCTACTAAAACTATAATAAAGGAACTTTTTTTTTTTTTTTTTTTTTTTTGAGGCGGAGTTTCGCTCTTGTTGCCCAGGCTGGAGTGCAATGGCACGATCTCGGCTCACCGCAACCTCCGCCTCCTGGGTTCAGGCAATTCTCCTGCCTCAGCCTCCTAAGTAGCTGGGATTACAGGCACACGCCACCATGCCCAGCTAATTTTTTGTATTTTTAGTAGAGACGGGGTTTCACCATGTTGACCAGGATGGTCTCGATCTCTTGACCTCGTGATCCACCCGCCTCAGCCTCCCAAAGTGCTGGGATTACAGGCTTGAGCCACCGCGCCCGGCCCAGGAACTTTTTTTTTTAAAGCATGGACACATAAGGGTGGGGACAACAGAGAGGAAGGAGACAATGTCAGCAATATTTTGAAAGCTGGAAAGCAGGTGGAGAAGTTATCATGAACTTAGTAGACCCAAAAAGACTAAAGCATCAATCAGCAGTGGGGAAATGAAAGCCAACCTGATTTATGTCATAGAATCCTCAATTCTCAGGAATTGGCAATATCAGCTGTCTCAGGGGCTGAAGGGGTTTAAATGAAAAGGCCTGTTTGAAAAGCTGTTATTTCTCTAAATCTGTTCTCTTACTCAGCGGGTAACTGCTCCATCCCTATCCTGGCAGTAGCCTGGAAGTTTGTTCTCTAGAGAGGGGAAAATAAATATCTCTGGACTGGGAAACCCTAATCTATGTCTAGGACATGGATATCTTTCCCAAAGCATGGGGATTGGATGACTGTATGCTTACTAAATGATGAACGGAGATTTCCCCAGCCCTCTCTTTTCGTTTGGTTCCCAGCATGCTAGCAGCCAAACCTTACTCTTCCTGCAGGAGACTGGAAGAGTCTTGAGTGAATTTTACCAGCTTACAAGGAAAGATCCAAAAAAAATGACATCAGGGATTCCACCTAGATTACTGTATAGTTCAAAAATAGCAAGCCCATCTGTATGCTTAACTCCTCCAGGCTGCTTGTCCTTAGTCTGAGTAAGACTGAGTATTGCTGGATAACTAGAGATTGGTGGGGAAGTCTCATGCAAATAAGAGACTATAAAACATGTAGAGAAAAATAGGCACTGGGAGAAACACATACAATGCAATGGGAGAAAAGATAATTTTGAATCCATTAAACAGGAACAGAGGTTTTCTAAGGAACATTCATGTAACAACAACAAATGCTAAAATGTTGGTATTTACAATATGCTGGAAATTATATCCTTTGCATTATTTAAATGTAACTTTTAAATGTTGATTTAAAAGGAAGTACATAGTTTCTCAGAATTCTTTTAAGGGGTCTTCAGCAAAAAAAGTTTTAAAACTATGTTAAACACTTACAGTTTAATATTAATTTCTGTATTATGCACCATAATTCAGAAGTGATACTTAACATTTTTACGAACCAAGTTACATAAAATTTATATAATTGGAACACATAACCAGATGCATCAGTCAGTCTTGAAGTGGATATTCCTGTTTTCTTATATGGTATCAGTGACAAGCACACTATTTTCACTACTTTTTTGGGGGGTTTTTTTTGTTTGTTTGTTTTTTTGTTTTTTGAGACAGGGTCTCTCCTCTGTCACCCAGGCTGGAGTGCAGTGACACAATCTCA